CATAGGTCATCGCAGTCGTGTAGACTTGCTGGTTGCACCGCGGTTCATGACAGACATCCGCAAGCGTGGGCTGGGGGTGGTGCCTATTGTCCTTTTGAGTGGCAAGGTCGAGAGGTCCATTCTTGTTACCTCACAGGTCAAGTCAATGAGCGGATCTCTGCAGTGCAGGCTTATTCGTGTTGGCACAAGGTAAAGCGAAACTGAAGACAGTACTACACACCGTTTGGGCAGTCATTCTGGGGTTGGGGCGCGCCCGCGCCGGGTGGCCTGTCCTCTTAGTTTACAGGCGATTCGGTCCAAGATGCTTTGAGCAAGGAAATGTTTGCCAATTGAATTTATGACGTATGCAATTCCGGGCATGAGGTTGAAGCAAGGGCAGCTTCACTTAACAAGCAAAGGCGTCGGCTCGCCACAATAGCGTCTCTGAGCAAAACAACTTTCAAGCAAGTCAAGGGTTCCTCACACAATTCCGGGGATGCTTGATACGGTGAGGGCGCGGAAACCGCTGCACACATCTCGAACATTGTCCCCCCTGAAGACGATTGCCGCCTTCAGCCGGCGAAGCTTGGCGCTCTCGGCGTGCTTCCATGAAACTCTGATCATGAGCCGTCCGATGTGAGCTTTAGTGCCGTTTTTGATGGCACTAGCTTTGGGTTCCTTACGGGGCTGAATGCTATCATAGTTCCATGCGCCGGCGTTACTGAGTCCTGTACCTTATTTTTGACTTCCTCAGACACACCTGGGATGGAAGCCCAATCTTTCCTTGGGGTGGCCTGGTGGACGCTGAATGGAATTTCCATCATCTCTTCTTTTGGCAATTCCTATATGCGATGGTCACTAGGCTTGCCCGCAAGGCATCGCAGGTACCATGTGGTGATACCGTGCCGGGAAAAGCTGGACACGTCCTGAAGCTCCACGATGTGCCTTCCAAGGCGGCTTTTCGTCCATTCAAATGGGCTCGCCCACCTCTAGCTTTAAGCTTGCTTGCAACTTGCAAGTAAGTCCTCTTCATTTCCAAAACTTGCTTGAACCTAGCTCCCAGCCTTTTTTGAGTTGAGATACTGCCACTTCGACCAAGGAGCGCAGGGCAAACCGCCCCACAGATCTGCGCCATCGAGTTCTCCTGCGTCGATTGCTTGGTTTTAGTTGCTTCACATCTTCAGGCTTTGAAATGTTCCCAAAGGACTTAGTTAGCCTAGTGTGATTTAACCCTACCGTTTTGGACACATTTCCCATGTTGGAATTTTCGGCGCAACAGAACTCTACGATTGTTCCAAAGCTGGGCAATCGCTTCTGCATAGCTTCGGAAGCGCGAGCTTGTTTCCGGTCATGGACAGGAACATGGGCTGCTGCAACCTCGGGCTCAGGTAACACGGCCTCAGGTGTAAAAGACAGTATTACCTGTCCAGCATTGATCAAGTGACGTCGTGGTTTAACCAACCTCCTCAAAAGTTGCAGTAGTTCCATCCTCATAGATCACATGCGTTTCTCTTAGTTTGAGTTTCTCCACGGAACCGGGCAGATATCAAAAGTCTTTCCTGGATCAAACAAGCGCTTTCGCTTGATACGATGGCACCGCACCACCGTGCCCCCTTCCACCTTCCAACAGTCCTTTGGCGCATCCGTTGGGATCTCAAACTTAGACACTCTGGGGCTGGCAACCCATCCTGCAGCTCGAGTTCTGGATGAAACCCAACTAGTTGCTGTTCGCTGGCGAGCTTTAAGGGGTGCAAGATGGCCTTTGCAGGAACAGCTTTGCCCGCTGTTGCGGATTTTTAGTTCCGCTTTTCCCAAAAGGAAACCCTTCAAGTTATCCCGAGGCACGACTTTGTAAACACCCTTGACTGAAGCCGGGTTCGAACCTCCATCCCAAAAACAAACCTGGCACAGTATTGGCCCCGAGCTTTGTGGTTTGCTGACGCCGCTTAAAGTGACGCGGTGCTCCAAATGGCAATCTGGCGCCGGTCCATGGCACGCCGCGCACGTTGTCCCACAACGGGATGGTAATTGCGTTGGCAACATAGTTTATGGCCAATGGCAAAAACTGCACCTACGTGAGTGGTGCAACACCTGCACGCATCTTCAAGGGTGCGGATTTGCCGGTTGCGTGCAATTCCACAGCTGCGCGCTTCTGACCTTGGTGACCTCCGCAGTGGATTTGGATGTAGCTGAATAAGCACCTGTTGCTTTTGCCCGTAAGCAAAACCTCTCATCTTTTAAAGCCTTGCGACCCCTTTTCATGGGACGATTTAGCCACAATGTCGTTCACCGAATTCTTCTGCAGGCTTTCCGTCTGACAAATGATGAGGTAGGCACTGCGTCCTGTTTGCTAGTTTGGCGCGCATCGCAAAATGGGTTCTTGGGCCTGTGGAGTAATTGATCTGGCTTCTGCACGAAGCCTTGATCTCCTCCCCTCTCTGGCCTGGTTCAATTTGAGGAGGCCGCGGCGGAGGCCGCAGCACGCTCCGATGAAAGCCTTTCCGTTTGGCACTTGTTCCCCCGTTGAACTCTCCACACACTAAGCATGAAAACGAACCGTCCGTTGCTCCGTTGTGGGTCCCGCCCAAGCACTTGTTGGTAGTTCCCAACCGATCTCCCGGCCCCCGTGTCCCCAACCCAGGCCACGGTTGAGTCACTTGGGTTAAAGGCAGTGAACGGCGCATCTGGAATGAGACCCTTTGGTTCGATTGTCAAGCCCATCAAGGGTGCCTGCGCCCGGCATTCGCGAAGCTGCAAAAGCGATTGTCGCACACGCGGCTGCTGGCGCAACCTGCCTTGGGCTTTGCCTTTGCCTTTGGCTTGGGCGGGGTGGCTTTGGCGAGCCCCGCATCATGGAGGTATGGGCACGGATTTCGCCGGCACGGAAAAGGAGATGAATCCTAAAGACCAATCTCAAAGTGAAACTCCAGCGCCCGTGATGCCCGCACAAAGGCTAAGCCAAAGGCAAAGCCGAAGAGTCAGGAAGGACTGAAAATGAACAAAGGGACCACCGCAGGGGAAAAGGGTGAACCGTGCATCTTCTTTCCTTTTCGAGTTTGAACCAACCTGGTGGGTAGCTTGAGTAGTCTCTTTGTTACCAGTCAGTTGTGACAGGGCCGATGAGGAATTGGCGTCATGCTGTTGCTCATCTATGATATCCCCTAGTCTGGCCCCATAGCGAATCGAAGGATGTGACAGAACTACCGGCAGCATCTCTTGAGGGCCTCGAAGAGCCACGACCCCAAAATGGACTCATCGTCCTCAAGCGTGGATAAGAAAAACCACACGGCCTCTGAATGACTCTAGGTCCTTCACCTCATGGCAAGTAGAGGAACTTAGCTCCCAGCACACGAGTCAGCACAGGAAAGTCTTTGTCTGTTGGCAGGAATTGGCTTTCTTCCGCCAAGTTAGCACATGGGCTTCGTCCTTCTTGCAACATGCGGCGACGCTGGAGTAAAGGGCGTGTCTCCATGGCCTCATCTCACTGGCTGCACGAGGAATCACATTTACCTTTATCTTCTCATAGGCTTTGATTCTCATGATTCGTAGAGGCTGACCTCATCATCCCTGCTGCTTTCTTCTGATGAACTAGATGATGATCCGTCCCTTCTTGCTAGGCAATGGCAATTCCAAGACTTGGCTTTGCTTGGCCCAACTGGTCCACTAAACGCTTTCAAAACTTGGTCTTTACCGGCGTCAGGATCAACTTAAACTCCCATTTTGGGGTTGGGCCCGGATAACCCTTGAGGCTGGGGTGAATCCAGCACAGGCGCTGGCCATCGGGCTCGGCGGCCTTGCCACTGCCGGCTGAGGCGCGGCTATAGCTGCTGCACTTCCGCTTCGTGAGGCTTGCTGGCCAACCAATGCACGGAGTTGCTCACGCTCGGTTTGCGAATCCTGTGCCTGACGCGAAAGGTCATCCATTTAAACTGTGCCATCAATTGGCTTCCCCAACTGCTCTTTGCTCACTATTTTACATCTCGCCCAGAATTTGGGCCACGCCACTTGCTTCAAGATTGAACTGTGATGCCACTTGCTCCTGGCTCCTTAAGGCTGCATTAGACAACTCAGGCACTTCAGTATTGTGGCTTTGCTCTCCAAACGCAACTAACTCTGACAAGTCCTCTTGGTGCCTAACTTGCGCCACTGCCAAACCTTCAGCAACTAACGCAGGATCCACATCAACACTCACTTGGTTGAATTGCAATTGGTTGCTCTGATACTTTAGTACCGGTGTAATGAAGTACCCTATTATCTGGCGATTGCAACCCGGAAGAAGGACGTCTTGAACAAGTCGAAGATGACACAGCCCTTAAGCAGGCCGAAAATCGCTCGGGAGTTCAATTCTTCGGCCCCTTCAAACGCCTGCGTGTTTGCAGCAAGCCACAGGTTCTGATCCCCGAACAATGCCCTCTTCCTCCGGATCAGTGAGGTCGACGACGATCGGCTCGCGCCGCTGCTGGACGTGGTGGATACCAGCAAGGACCACCGCAAGCCGGATAAAGAAATCACGCTTCCTCTTCCACCTCGCCAGCTTGCCGCCACGATCCCGGCGATGGAACGCCTCCCTATGGAATATCCCGAATAGACAGGAAAGAAACACGGCGCAGCCAGCTATTACGGCTGATAACCAAAAGAAATGGGGGTAAACCCTGGGGCGCTTGCAGCGGAGCACCTTTTTGCCTGGAGTCAAACTATACCATGGCACACTCGTGCAACCAAACCTACCACAGGAACATGTGAGAAAGCGCATTGGAAACCAGGGTATGACCCCAGAGTTTTCAGCTAAAGCAATCGGCTCTGCTGCCAACTCAAAGACTTTAATGGTCAAGAGTTCTTGAAGGTCCATAATACACTGTACGTCGCCCAAGACTTCACCTTGCAACACAGCCCGAACGCTGCTTGTTTGACTGGAAGCTGAGCCACGGTAATCTAGCTTAAAGCAAGTCAATGATTGAAACTGCCAAAACAAGGCAGAAAGGCAAAACAGCGCAACCGAAAAACTTTGGCTGTCAAGTCTCTCCGCGGGTGCGACAACTGCAGTAGGCGCAGTGGGCGCAGGTGCGGCGGCTGCAGTAGGCGCGGTTGCGGTCTCCTGAAGTCAAATCTGAGCGAGAAAGGGCACTCATCTGGTAGGTCCTAACATTTGACACGTTGGACAAGATGCCCAAACGAAGCGACTTCGTTCGCAGTTCGCAGGACATTCCCATTTGCCTGAGTAGCCACCGGTCCATCATGCAAAATGCCCTCCAACATGCTGGATGTTTCACAAAGATCTCCGCAGAAAATACATGAACCATGTCTGCCACGTAAGGCTCGAGTAAAGATCATGAATCGCTACTGTGCTTGGCAGCGTCATGTAGCTTCTCATGCCTTTCTCTGAGAAACAGCACCAGGTGGCTGAGGGAAAGGATCTAATTTGTGCGCACACGGTTCATCAAAAAAGCAAAAAAAAGGGGTCTGTGAGGAAAAAAACATGTTGTGCTTGGTGCCCCGTCGCCGCAGCCGCCTGTCTGCCCTTGCTGCGGGAGCGGCTGCGCTCTCGCTGCCCTACCGATGCCCCAAGGTGATGTGGCCGGGACGCATTTACTTGGAAAAGGGTCACCAGGTTTCAAGCAAAGGGTGCGGAGATATTTCGGGATTGTGTTTCTGGAAGTTTGTTCATTTTTCGTCCGGCCAGTAAAAAGTTGTATTTTACAGCGTGGAATTGACGCATTGTTTACACTAGCCCGTCAACATCCCCAGCATCGTTTTCAACATACCCCGCATGTTCGACCAACATCCTCAGCATCACCGAGAATCGTGGGTAACAAAATCTAAAAAGTAGCTGGCGGGTTAGCGGGGTCGACAACATGAATTTCAATCCCAGTAAAAACAAGAGGAGCCCGGGAACCCAAAAGCAAACCAGCCTAACTCCCCACGGCATGTGGATCCCGTTGTTTTCCGGCTCAAGGGTCCGAAGGCAAACCAAGATTTAAGTTGTTCACAGTTGGGAAATCAACCCCAAAACAGGGAGCAACCGCGACTCAAGCCGGATTGGCAGCCAGCAGCCTGTGCTCTGACCAAGCACAGAGAAAAAGGCAAAGGCACGGGTGAAACATGACAGGCCCCGCACTACATGGAAGGCACAAAGTCATCCGATTCATCATGAAGAACCAATCGCAGAAATCCGAAAATGGATCCGCACAAACTACCACTCCCAAATTGGAAGCAAGGCATAAGCTCGCTCTACACCCATCTGAAACAAGTCTGAGACACAGTGTTACAACACGATCTGAGTAGACCGGGGTCAGCTGTTCGGATGTTCATGCGCCCTTATGTTGGGGCCGAGTGTGCTCAGCATATTCATGTCAACGTGCTTCCAGGCTGCTTCCAAATAAGTAGGGCGAGTCCCAAGAGGCCACAGACTCTGAAGAGAGGGTCGTCCTAGAAACACATTGGCGCCATTTGTTCGGGTCAGGTGTGCGGCAAAAAGGACAACTTTGGCGGCCTGGAACGCCGGGCTGTTCACATGGAGCCGTGCACGTGGCCTTCACAAACTTGCTTTGCATGCTTGCTTGGATTCGTTAGTTTCTCCACCTATTTTCCCATTCGCAACCAATGGCAACTGGTGACTTTGTGGAATGGGCCGCGCACGTTGTCAATTGGATGCGTGTGGATGGCAAGTTGGGTGGATTCGCTGCAGGTGTGTGGAGACGGGGCCGGCGCTGCGCTTTTGCGGGGGGCTCGGTGTGGACAAGCCTCGATCACTTGGTGGACACAGTGTTGCCACGATCTGCGTAGACCGGGGTCAGCTGTTCGGATGTTCATGCGCCCTTTTGTTTGGTCCGAGTGTGCTCAGCATATTCATGTCAACGTGCTTCCAGGCTGCTTCCAAATAAGTAGGGCGAACCCCGAGGCCACAGCTTCTGAAGAGAGGGTTCGTCCTAGAAACACATTGGCACCATTTGTTCGGGTCAGGTGTGCGGCAAAAAGGACAATTTTGGCGCACCGGGAACGCCGGGCTGTTCACATGCAGCCGTGCACGTGGCCTTCACAAACTTGCTTCGTATGCTTGCTTGGATTCGTTAGTTTCTCCACCTATTTTCCCATTCGCAACCAATTGCAACTGGTGACTTTGTGGAATGGGCCGCACACGTTGTCAATTGGATGCGTGTGGATGGCAAGTTGGGTGGATTCGCCGCAAGTGTGTGGAGACGGGGCCGGCGCTGCGCTTTTGCGGGGGGCTCGGTGTGGACAAGCCTCGGTCACTTGGTGGGCGAAACAAGTCTGAGACACAGTGTTACCACGATCTGCGTAGACCGGGGTCAGCTGTTCGGATGTTCATGCGCCCTTTTGTTTGGGCCGAGTGTGCTCAGCATATTCATGTCAACGTGCTTCCAGGCTGCTTCCAAATAAGTAGGGCGAACCCCAAGAGGCTACAGCTTCTGAAGAGAGGGTCCGTCCTAGAAACACATTGGCACCGTTTGTTCGGGTCAGGTGTGCGGCAAAAAGGACAATTATGGCGTACCTGGAGCGCCGGGCTGTTCACATGGAGCCGCGCACGTGGCGGTTGCCGCATGTCATGAGCGTCCACCTCCACCGCACCAGTCTCGCTCGCCGGCATGTCACGAGCGTCCACCACGCCAGTCTCGCTCGCGAGCGGCTTCCGCATGTCACAAGCGTCCACCGCGCCAGTCTCGCTCGCGGGCGGTTTCCGCATGTCACGAGCGTCCACCGCGCCAGTCTCGCTCGCGGGCGGTTTCCGCATGTCACGAGCGTCCACCGCGCCAGCCTCGCTCGCGGGCAGTTTCCGCGTGTCACAAGCGTCCACCGCGCCAGTCTCGCTCGCGGGCGGTTTCCGCCTGTCACGAGCGTCCACCGCGCCAGTCTCGCTCGCGGGCGGTTTCCGCATGTCACGAGCGTCCACCGCGCCAGTCTCGCTCGCGGGCGGTTTCCGCATGTCACGAGCATCCACCGCGCCAGTCTCGCTCGCGGGCGGTTTCCGCATGTCACGAGCGTCCACCGCGCCAGTCTCGCTCGCGGGCGGTTTTGGCATGTCACAAGCGTCCACCGCGGCAGTCTCGCTCGCGGGCGGTTTCCGCCTGTCACGAGCCGCCGCGCCAGTCTCGCTCGCGGGCGGTTTCCGCCTGTCACGAGCGTCCACCGCGCCAGTCTCGCTCGCGCGCGGTTTCCGCCTGTCACAAGCCACCGCGGCAGTCTGGCTCGCGGGCGGTTTCCGCATGTCACGAGCGTCCACCGCACCAGTCTCGCTGTCTCGCTCAGGGGCGGTTTCCGCATGTCACGAGCGGTCACGCGCCAGTCTCGCTCGCGGGCGGTTTCCGCATGTCACGAGCGTCCGCCGCGCCAGTCTCGCTCGCGGGCGGTTTCCGCATGCGGGCGGTTTCCGCATGTCACGAGCGCCCACCGCGCCAGTCTCGCTCGCGGGCGGTTTCCGCATGTCACGAGCGTCCACCGCGCCAGTCTCGCTCACGGGCGGTTTCCGCATGTCACGAGCGTCCACCGCGCCAGTCTCGCTCGCGGGCGGATTCCGCATGTCACGAGCGTCCACCGTGCGCGCCAGTCTCGCTCGCGGGCGGTTTTCGCATGTCACGAGCGTTCCACCGCGCCAGTCTCGCTTGCGGGCGGTTTCCGCATGTCACGAGCGCAGTCTCGCTCGTGGGCGTTTTCCGCATGTCACGAGCGTCCACCGCGCCGGTCTCGCTCGCGAGCGGTTTCCCCATGTCACGAGCGTCCACCGCGCCAGTCTCGCTCGCGGGCGGTTTCCGCCTGTCACGAGCGTCCACCGCGCCAGTCTCGCTCGCGGGCGGTTTCCGCATGTCACAAGCGTCCACCGCGCCAGTCTCGCTCGCTGGCGGTTTCCGCATGTCACGAGTGTCCACCGCGCCAGTCTCGCTCGCGGGCGGTTTCCGCCTGTCACGAGCGTCCACCGCGCCAGTCTCGCTCGCGGGCGGTTTCCGCGTGTCACAAGCGTCCACCGCGCCAGTCTCGCTCGCGGGCGGTGTCCGCATGTCCACCGCGCCAGTCTCGCTCGCGGGCGGCTTAACTCCATGTCACGAGCGTCCACCACGCCAGTCTCGCTCGCGGGCGGTTTCCGCATGTTCCACCGTCCGCATGTCACGAGGGTCCACCGCGCCAGTCTCGCTCGCGGGCGGTTTCTCCATGTCACGAGCGTCCACCACGCCAGTCTCGCTCGCGGGCGGTTTCCGCAGGTCACGAGCGTCCACCGCGCCAGTCTCGCTCGCGGGCGGTTTCCGCATGTTCCACCGCGCCAGTCTCGCTCGCGGGCGGTTTCCGCATGTCACGAGCGTCCACCGCGCCAGTCTCGCTCGCGGGCGGTTTCCGCATGCACCATTTTTCGCTCGCGGGCGGTTTCCGCATGTCACGAGCGCGCCAGTCTCTCTCGCTCGCGGGCCAGCCTCGCGCACCCAGTCTGCACCACACCGCCGTCCCACCAGCCAGCCCCACACCGCCGTCCCCCCAGCCAGCCTCGTACGCCCGGTCTGCACCCCCAGCCGGCGTCGCACGCCCGGTCTGCAGCACAACGAAATGGAAATCCCTTTCTTATCTCTGTCGTCACAGCTTGTATCGCTCCCAGGCACCTTAAGAGAAAACCTAAAGCAGAACCCAAGCATCAGAGATGCTTTTGGGAAAAAAATTAGGACTCTGTTCGGATGTTCGTGCGCCCTTTTGTTTGGTCGAGTGTGCTCAGCATATTCATGTCAACGTGCTTCCAGGCTGCTTCCAAATAAGTAGGGCGAACCCCAAGGGGCCACAGACTCTGAAGAAAGGGTTCGTCCTAGAAACACATTGGCGCCATTTGCTCGGGTCAGGTGTGCGGCAAAATAAGTAGGGCGAACCCAAGAGGCCACAGACTCTAAAGTCCTAGAAGCACATTGGCGCCATTTGCTCGGGTCAGGTGTGCGGCAAAAAGGACAATCTTGGCGCGCGGTGAACGCCGGGCTGTTCACATGGAGCCGTGCACGTGGCCTTCACAAACTTGCTTCGTATGCTTGCTTGGATTCGCTAGTTTCTCCACCGATTTTCCCATTCGCAACCAATTGCAACTGGTGACTTTGTGGCAAGGGCCGCGCACGCTGTCAATTGGATGCGTGTGGATGGCAAGTTGTGTGGAGACGGCGCTGCGCTTTTGCGGGGAGGCTCGGTGTGGACGATCCTCGGTCATTTGGTGGGTCTGACGTCTGTCCGCAACAAGTCTGAGACACAGTGTTGCCACGATCTGCGTAGACCGGGGTCAGCTGTTCGGATGTTCATGCGCCCTTTTGTTTGGGCCGAGCGTGCCCAGCATATTCATGTCAACGTGCTTCCAGGCTGCTTCCAAATACGTAGGGCGAACCCCAAGAGGCTACACCTTCTGAAGAGAGGGTTCGTCCTAGAAACACATTTGCACCATTTGTTCGGGTCAGGTGTGCGGCAAAATAACTATAGGACGAACCCCAAGAGGCCACAGCTTCTCAAGACAGGGTTCGTCCTAGAAACACATCGGCACCCTTTGTTCGGGTCAGGTGTGCGGCAAAAATGGCAATTTTGGCGCACCTGCAACGCCGGGCTGTTCACATGGAGCCGCGTGGCCTTCACAAACTTGCTTCGTATGCTTGCTTGGATTCGTTAGTTGCCCCACCTATTTTCCCACTCGCAACCAATTGCAACTGGTGACTTTGTGGAAAGAGCCGCGCACGTTGTCAATTGGATGCGTGTAGATGGCAAGTTGGGTGGGAGGGGGCCGGCGCTGTGCTTTTGCGAGGGGCTCGGCGTAGACAAGCCTCGGTCACTTGGTGGTCTGACGCCTGTCCGAAACAAGTCTGAGACACAGTGTTACCACGATCCGCGTAGACCGGGGTTAGCTGTTCGGATGTTCGTGCGCCCTTTTGTCTGGGCCGCGTGTGCTCAGCATATTCATGTCAACCTGCGTCCAGGCTGCTTCCAAATAAGTAGGGCGAACCCCAAGAGGCCACAGCTTCTCAAGAGAGTCCTAGAAACACATTGGCGTTTGTTCGGGTCCTGTGTGCGGCAAAAAGGGCTCGGTGTGGACAAGCCTCGGTCACTTGGTGGGTCTGACGCCTGTCTGAAACAAGTCTGAGACACAATCTGCGTAGACTGGGGTCAGCCGTTCGGATGTTCGTACGCCCTTTTGTTTGGCCGAGTGTGCTCAGCATAAACATTTTCAACGTGCTTCCAGGCTGCTTCCAAATAAGTAGGGTGAACCCCAAGAGGCCACAGCTTCTCAAGAGAGGGTTCGTCCTAGAAACACATCTCCTAGAAACACATCGCCCGTCTCGGGGGCGGTTTCTGCCTGTAGCGTCTCGGCGGGCGGTTTCCGCACGTCACGCGTCCACCGCCCAGTCTCGCTCCAGTCTCTCGCTCGGGGGCGGTTTCGGCCTGTCACGAGCGTCCCCCGCGCCCGTCTCGCTCGGGGGCGGTTTCCGCTTGTCACGAGCGTCCACCGCGCCAGTCTCGCTCGCGGGCGGTTTCCGCATGTCACGAGCGTCCACCGCGCCAGTCTCGCTCAGTCTCGCTCGCGGTTTCCCGCGGTTTCGGCCTGTCCAGTCTCGCTCGGGGGCGGTTTCGGCATGTCACGAGCGTCCCCCGCGCCAGTCTCGCTCGCGGGCGGTCTCCGCTTGTCACGAGCGTCCACCGCGCCAGTCTCGCTCGGGGGCGGTTTCGGCCTGTCACGAGCGTCCCCCGCGCCCGTCTCGCTCGGGTCACGAGCGTCCCCCGCGCCCGTCTCGCTCGGGGGCGGTTTCGGCCTGACGAGCGTCCCCCGCGCCCGTCTCGCTCGGGGGCGGTTTCGGCCTGTCACGAGCGTCCCCCGCGCCCGTCTCGCTCGCGGGCGGTTTCCGCATGTCACGAGCGTCCACCGCGCCAGCCTCGCTCGCGGGCAGTTTCCGCGTGTCACAAGCGTCCCCCGCGCCCGTCTCGCTCGGGGGCGGTTTCCGCTTGTCACGAGCGTCCACCGCGCCAGTCTCGCTCGCGGGCGGTTTCCGCACGTCACGAGCGTCCACCGCGCCAGTCTCGCTCCAGTCTCGCTCAGGGGCGGTTTCCCGGGGGCGGTTTCGGCCTGTCACGAGCGTCCCCCGCGCCCGTGTCGCTCGGGGGCGGTTTCGGCATCTCACGAGCGTCCCCCGCGCCAGTCTCGCTCGCGGGCGGTCTCCGCTTGTCACGAGCGTCCACCGCGCCAGTCTCGCTCGGGGGCGGTTTCGGCCTGTCACGAGCGTCCCCCGCGCCCGTCTCGCTCGGGTCACGAGCGTCCCCCGCGCCCGTCTCGCTCGGGGGCGGTTTCGGCCTGACGAGCGTCCCCCGCGCCCGTCTCGCTCGGGGGCGGTTTCGGCCTGTCACGAGCGTCCCCCGCGCCCGTCTCGCTCGGGGGCAGTTGCGGCCTCTCACGAGCGTCCCCCGCGCCCCGTCTCGCTCGGGGGCGGTTTCGGCCTGTCACGAGCGTCCCCCGCGCCCGTCTCGCTCGCGGGCGGTAGCCGCTTGTCACACGCGTCCACCGCGCCAGTCTTGCTCGGGGGCGGTTTCGGCCTGTCACGAGCGTCCCCGCGCCCGTCTCGCTCGGGGGCGGTTGTCACGAGCGTCCCCCGCGCCCGTCTCGCTCGGGCGTCCACCGCGCCAGTCTCGCTCGCGGGCGGTT